CTCCAGGCGGATCTGCGACCATGGTGGTTAGATCCACGGGTGAGGTGGCCGCGTGCTCGTTGATGGCGTCCACGACGGCGGCGGCGAGCGTGCTTCACGTGTTGCGGGGATGGGGATCCCCGCGCGGATTAAATCCCCGAGCGAGGACGGGGATGGGGAAGAAGTGCTCCCCATGAGCCTTCACGGGGACGGGGACGGGGGAAATTTGCCCCCGCGGGGACGGGGATGGGGCGGTAACCCCCGACGGGGAATTCCCCGTTGACATTTCGACTTCACGCTTGCAACCGGTCCATCAAGCCAAGTCTTGTCTTGATCTTCTCTACCTTGATCACATGACTCAATGCCATGTCTTATGTGCAATGAGCTCCTTCATCATCATATGTGTGACCTTTGCAACATCTCCAAGTCATTTTCGCCTTCATGGCATATGTTGCTCACACACATGTACCTGTGGACTAATCACATGTGTGTCTCACATAAACACAATTAATTCACCTAGGTTGTTACTCAATTACCAAAACCACACAAGGATCTTTCAACTCTCTCCGTCTCATAAAAAGAGTCATTCTAGGATTTAAATTTTGTCCCATAAAAAGTATCGCTTACCTATGTTACTAGACCTACGGGTAGGCACCGTACGAGTAGCTGTGCATGTTCGGTCATCCAACGTCGCAACTTTATTTCTTCCCTCTCTCATACACCGGACATTTAATGCAGCTTTTCATGTGTTGCTTGTACTACTAGTAGAGGGTACGCAGGTATTTCACCACTCTCCTGGTTACAAGAGCTTCCCTCCCAAATAACCGTATTTACGGGACAGAGGGAGAAGTAGTTAACTTTTCACTATTAATATATGGTCCACTTGTCTTTCTCACGAAGTTTCTTGGTTTTTGTACCTGAGCCGGCTGTAAGTTTATAGCCCGTTTTTCCTCTCTCTCATCTACCTTAGCATTTAGCCAACTTACCACTTGCTCTTATGTGCCGTTCATCTACGTCCACCTAAAAGTAATTGAGCTTATTAGGATTTATATTTAATATACATTTCAGAGAATTTCGTGGAAAATCCAAATCATGGCGTCTGCATGCTAGGAAGAGGACAAGGCAAAGCTGAGACGGGCCGTGCTCTCGAAATGAGCAGTCGAGGCCCTTCGTCCTGTCGTCTTCCGGACGGGACGGCCCTGGGCGGATGGGCCTCCCACGCGCGCGTATCGCGACGTGCATCTGACGGCCTACCAGGAAGATCCGCCTGCGATCGTACGGCCCGAGGGCGGACGGGGAGCAGCGGTGCACGCCGTGGCCCCACCGCACGTGCTTGCCCGCACGTTAGTAGGAGGTAGTACTGTACTATAAACTTGCACGCAAATACAGATACAGTACTCCTCTACGGAAGTACAGTGTACGTATACATTAGTAGTAGAGCCCACTACGGAGTATATTTTTTTATCTAGTATTTAAAGTTTATACAATAAATATTTTATCACCGTTTAAAAAGTTAAAATAACTTATAATTTGAAAGGGAGAAAGTAAATGTTTTTGGAAAGAAAGCAGAACGTCTGAACCCACTACGCGGTTGCTCATTTGCCTGCGTGCTGCGCCTCAACCACAAAGTAATGCGAGCACGAAAGTGCATGCACGAATGAATTAACTAAAAGCGCTTTTTTACTCGTGTCGTAGATGTAAGTTGGTCGCTGGAGTATGTGAGATGATCTTGTACATGCTTTCCCCGTCAGGCGTCAGGTGATGCAGATGGAAACACAGGAAGCAATGCGCTTTCGCCGGATAAAGCTAAGGATCTTTCACGTGATACTGGCCTAGCTTGCTAGTGCCAATGTGCCAAGCCATTTCTGCTCATCGACAAGCAGCTTAAACAAAGATGCATGCATAATAAAGCTACTAAACACTATCTTGTTGACTAATGGACATGGCACCAGAATGTTGAATAGCTGATAGGAGTGTAGAGAATCAGAGTGTTGTAGTAATATTGACTGTTGAGTACTAGTGGTACTGTAGTAGTCCACTGGTTTCAGATTCTCAGCACTGTACAAAGTCCAGGTGCCTGTTTTCTTCTGTGTTCTGGCGATACAATTAGCACTGTACTCCTACCTCATTATTTTTACTTCCCGTGCACGCCCATGTCCATGGTTCTGTGTACTTACTGTAAGTAAAGATTGGTTTTTTAATATAAAAAGGTGTAAAATATTAGCTGTGCTGTAATCAGGGACTTGCAGAGAGTTTTGCTCAAATAATTTCATAATATTGTTTTCAGTTCTGCTCTGACGGTTTTTGTTATTGCAGCAGAGCGCAGAGGAGGATGCGGTGCCCGAGAAACTAAAAATTCCTGGAGAATATTGTGGGCCATGCGAAGCTGCTGCGAGGTTCGTTGCAGCCATTGTATATATTTCTGCTCGAAGACGAAAGAGAGTGGCCTCGTTGCAAATGCAAATGCAAATGCATGATGGCAGCAGCAGGGAGTATTTACTGCACCACACCATGCATGTACACTTGCACAGCATTTTTATATGCATGGATTCAGCAGATATACTATTCGCAAAATATTCTATTTCTTGGGAAAGGGAGCGGCCAAATAGGTAGCGTTGCTTCCATACGTACGTCACCGGGTCGCGCACTGTGCCTGGTTCCGTGTAAACAATTGCGACGTGCCTACTGTTGGTGGCCATGCGAGGTGATCTGGTGCCGTGCCATGCGTTGAGCCTGACGACTGTTGCTGGCTCTCTTTTTTCGAGTCACGAAGATTCCCATCCTATGCCTGTGATTCTGTAGTGGGGTACTAAACAGGGCCCACGTCACAATCATAGCACGGGCCAGCCCATTAGGATCGATCAGATCGAATCATTTGTAGGGTTGGGGACCTAAACGGCTAAACCTCGCTTAGTCACTCGTATGTAGACGAGGTTAACACCACCAGTCTAGCAGGATCTGTCCATTTTTCTTTTTCCTTTTTGCAGACTAGATATTATGTTGAGTAGCATACCTCACAAATTACTTAATTTTGTTAGCTGTGAACTTTCGAATGTAAACTAGCATGCCATACCTTTTATTAAAAATAATGAAGGTGATAGTATGGCCCAAGCCAAAGTCACCAAGATGGGGAAAAGGGAAAAAGAGGAATTTCAACTATACGTCATAAGGCAAAAAAAAATGACTAGGAGGTGAAAAATATGGGCGTTACGCACTTTCCAAATCTCTCATGACACTTAGTATCCTCATCGAATCGAGCGCTTTCCAAGGGCACGCCCTGTAGAGAAAGTTATCTCTACTACCTACCAGCCTGCTGTTGATGGTGTAACAGTGTGTGCCAAATCCCTTGGTGTGCAATGCTTTATGTGAAATTGAGTTGCATGCTACTCCTTCATTTCCAAATTATAAGACGTTTTAGTTTTTCTAGATACATTGCTTTTAGTATGCATCTAGATATAGTATATATCTAAGTGCATAACAAAAGCTACATATTAAAAAGCCAAAACGTTTTACAATTCATAATGGAGGCGGTACTTTTAGATGCATACTACCCTATTGTTGAAGAATCACCCACAACTAATAGGCCAATCCATTGCATACAAAACTTGATAGCCACACTTTTGATCGGTCCTCTCGTTACATATGAAATCATTGTTTGTTGTCAAAAGACCGCATGCTCTATGATGGTGAACAATCACTACACCACAACACCAAGATTAGCGATGGACGATCTGACGCTAAAAACGGATACAGCAACAGACGATCTTGCGCTAAAAAGTTATAGCGACTTGTGCCGACGGCGTAAGTCCTGTCGCTAAAAATCTTTAGCGACAGACAATACTTTTAGCGATAGATAGTCTGTTGCCCGAAATATTTTATAGCGACAGACAGCATGCTGCTTCTCTTTAGCGACAGATCATCCATCTTTGGCGACTGATACTTTGATGCTATAAATGCTTTTAGCGACAGATGGTCCAACAACATCAATTAAATGGCTTTAAAAAAAATAAAAAGACCATTTGGCCGCAATTTAATACAAATGTCCAATACAACATCATTGTGCACGTTTGTCATACAAAATAAATTCATTCATGACCAAGTCCAAACAGACATCATTGTGCACGTTTGTCATACAAAATAGATTCATTCATGACCAAGTCCAAACATTCACAGAGATATATGTAATCAGATTAGCCATTACAAACATAAAACATTGATTCATCGATGATAAGTCCATAGTATCACGTACCATCACACAACACTGTATAAAAAAAAAAGCTTTGAATGACAAATCACCCACAAACTTGCTACCTAGCACCTAGCAGGCCCAGAAACCAAAACCTAACATGCAATCAGTATGAAAACATAGAACTAGATTCACAAAGTGATGTTGCCTTGTGTGTAAATGACATACAACACCCTGAGAAGAATTTGATGCCATGTTGCTAACCTTCAGCTGCAAAAATACTAGTAATTAGAAAATTTGACAACTGATTGCAGACCAAGAAAAAAAAGATATGAATTCATATTAACTCTTGTTATCTCATATCTCTCAGTTGGATCTTATTTCACAGCCTAAGGTTAACGATGTACCTAGCAATTAGAAATAAGATCCAACTGACAACTAGCATTTGCATTGCCACTTGGCCACAACACCTCTACATTTTTTATATAAAAAAGGTATGTCTTTACATATGTGACCATATAAAAAAAGTCATGCTTCGCTGTGCAAAGGAGACAAACTTAGGATATTATCATGCTAGAATAGAAGTCCTACCATTATTTCAAATTCGTGGCCAAGCAAGCAACACAAGTAAAAAGCAGCAGTTATACATAGAAGAATAAATGTGGAGGCCAAGTGTGATAGAGAAAGAACACAGAAATACATGAATTAATTATGGAGATAGAACCCCACAGGTGTTTCGTCATGTTTATGATTTGTGTAGGATGGAATAGCCCGCTCCTCTGTGTACGGTGTACCAGAAAGTGTGCCACTACTCAAGTAGTATTTTTGACACATGCTACAACTCCTCTTTGTACGGTGCACCAAAAAGTGTGCCACTACTCAAAGTACTGATTGCATCTTCCACATAGTCCCCCTTGAACACTGGACTTTCAGACTGTAATATATTATTTTTCACAAAATCAAATAAATAGTTTTGACACATGCTGCAAACTCAGGTTACATACTAAAATTAAACACATAGAAGACTGATAGCTGCATCAGCTATTACAAATCAACTTAAATCTTAGTTACTATTGCACACATGCAGTAAAAATTTCAGAGATAGTGACATTGTTTTGAGGCCCAACACTCAAGACAAGAGTTGAGCATCATAAATTTGAGATATCTAAGAAGTCAACTGAACTTACCTTCACTGATATTGGCTTACTACTTGCCATTCAAGCAGGGTCTTGACTCCTAAAGACAGTGGTTCACTAAAAGTTTGGAACATCACATGGAGCTTTATGACAAGCCTCATCAGTATTAAAAGCTTGTGATCTAAATATAAAATATTGTAAGAAAATCTTAGAACAACAAGTAAGGAATGTTATAAGAGATATTATTATTCAGATCATGACTTGCTAAAAATACAGATTAGTATAATTCAGATCAAGACTTGCTAAAAATTCATAAGAGAGTTCTGAAGATGAGTTACATCCATTTGTAAAGTCTGATTCTAAATTACCAAGAGTTGTCCGAATGGCAAACCTCTGTGCTGCTGATGGGCATTCAGTAAAATTTAACATATGCCATTTGTTGATGGACTTAGGATTTCTCATCAGGACCCCTTAGGTGAAAAGAATACATAAATATAAGTGGCCGCTGCTAAATATCCTTGGAACTAATATATGTATGAAGATATCAACTAGTTAATGATTAAAAAAATAGAACAAGTCAGTGACAAAAGTGAAGTGATGCTTAGCTACAGTCATGATTCAATCACCAGGGACATAAAGACACTACCGTAAAAAAACTAGCTGGACCATCAACTCTCAGCAGAATAATACAAGTGCAATATGCTAATCTGTTATATACATAAATCTTAGCATTTTAGCTAGTCTCTCTGCTTTATTATGCATGACGGTGGTAAGATTGGTGAGCTCAAAATTGAATTAATCAACATCATATATAGAAAAACGGAAAGAGTACTTTAGTAAAAATATATCAGATTGTTCAATAATATACCTGTGGCATAATCTTTACAGTTGAACTATCTAGAAATTGGCAAATTGGTTAAAGCATATTTATCTCGGAAACAAATCATCTGCAGTTACTAGTGAAAATAACAAGGAATAGTTACTTGGTTGTAACAAGGAATAGTTACTAGTGAAAATCCCTTTACTACAGGATGTGTGTGATGAGCAGGTACGATACGTTTAAACTAGCCCAAATTAATTGTTCACTGACAAGTCAAATTAACAGTTGTATTGTAGCCAAAAGAACACACAAAGCTACTGATTCCCATCTCAACTGATTCCAGCCAAAGCTTGAGCCCATTTTTTATATAGCCAAAAGAACACACAAAGTTATGTTGGCCAGCCAAGCAACAAAACCTCGTGACAGTAAATTGGTCAAAATACATGTAAATCACTGAAGCTGTTACAAGCATATGAGCACATCCGCGACCTGATATTTCATGGCATCTATCATCAAGCATTGAACATCAGTGACAAAATTGACCGTCTCCACATGAATGATTCATGCTGTTCCAGATTAGGCTAAACAGGTTGTCCGGCTTGAAGGTTAGATGTATATACCTGCAGCATTGGAAGGCGGAGGCATGGAATCTAGCTGGGAGAAGAAATCAAAACCTATGGTGTTGGCGTTGTCCTCCTCTGGATCCACGAATCCTGGGACCCCAAACCCACTCGACGATGACGGATCCATGGCCAGTTCATGGCAGCAGCACACCGGGAGAAGGAGGCAGGGGCGGATTGGGAGCTGCCAGGCCTCAGGCGCGGGTTCTGGTGTCGAGGTCACCCTCCTTGTCTTCTCCCCCGTCGGCAAGCTGTACGAGATGTGGGGCGCGACCTAGCGGCAGCATGTGGATATGGTGGCACAGCGAGATGTGGCAGCGGCGGGCGGGGGCTTTGGGGGTGGGCGAGGCGTTGTCGAAGCAGAGGGTCTGGCGGCGCTGTCGCACGCAATGGGCGGCGCGGGGAGCTGTGAGGGCGGGCTGGGAGCGTGGGGATTTGGGGTGGGTGGCGCGGGATTTGGGATTCGGGCTCGGTACATCGGAGGCCATCGTCGCCCTTGGCCATGCCTTACGCATGCGAGATCCAGTGTTGTCGTGTCCTCCTCATCGCATCCGGCCGTGTACGCCAGAACCCATGCCCTCCTCGACGGATCTGGCCATGGACACTGGATCCCGCGCCCTCGCTCCTCCGCCAGGTCGAGCGGTAGGGCGCCGCTACTCCCATAGCCTTACAGGGCGGCGGCCACACCAGCAGAGAACAGATCTTTTATCCGATGTTAAAATGGGTTCCCGTTTTTTTGGCCGGGGCATATTTGAGAGACCTTTAATCCCGGTTGGTGTTTCAATCGGGACTAAATGTCCCCGCCTAACGGCTATTATCATCGCCGCGATGACAGATGACGACCTTTAGTCCCGCCACACCAACCGGGACTAAAAGCACCTTTTACTCCTGGTTGGAGCCACCAACCGACTAAAGTTCTCAACCTTTAGTCCCATGCTGATAACACCAACCGGGACTAAAAGTAGACCTTTTACTCCTGGTTAGTAACACTAACTCGGATTAAAGACTCTTTAGTCCCGCCTGGTAATATCAACCGGGACTAAAGGCGTCCCCGATGGGTTAGTTCAAAGGGAAGCATCCCATCTATTGTTAGATGTGTTGTGTAGGTGGGGTAGTAAGCTACGCGAGGCAATGCATGATGGGGTCTTGGGTTCGAATCTCACGGGACGCAGCGGTGGGAGGCATTATTTTTTTTTAAAGCTGAGAGGACCTTTAGTCCCGGTTGGTGTTACCCACCGGGATTAACCTTTAGTCCCGGTTCCTGACCGGGACTAAAGGGTAGTCCCGGATGCTTACTCCCTGGTGGGGAATCGGGACTAGAGGGGGTTCTTTACCGGAGTAAAGCTCTATTCTCTACCAGTGCCATGATCTTGCTTCTCGGGGTGGGTGGGGGCGAGCGACGGGTGAGATGGGTGTGGACTGCGGACGCGCTCGTGTGCGGTGGAGTTGGAAGATTGGAGCGAGAGAGATGGGAGAGAGACTTATTGAGCCAGCCGCCGGCACAGGATAGGAAAGGTTAGGGTTTTGGGGCAGACGCGCTTTTATCTTGCCACCCAACGGACCTGCATGAGCAAGGAGGCTGCTGGGCCGTGGCCACTACCAGGCCAGGAACGCGAGGGTAAGGACGGCTAAAAAATACGTGAACTTTCTATTTTTTTAGAGCTAATACAAAGTAGATGACGATTTCGCGTGCATGGCGAGCCTTTTTTAATATATTTCACGTGCATGGTCAGCCTTTTTTTAATATATTTCACGTGCATGGCCAGCCTAATAAACAGTACCACACGATTAGTTGAGTGGTTAGCTCATACGATTTAGGAGCACGAGTGTGCAGGTTTGTGCCAAAAAAAAAATTCCGGGCCGCTTCTTTTTATGTTCGAGTTCGGACTTCGCTCGCTAAAAGTTGCGAGCGAGCTGGATAGAGGTGGGGCACGTGAGCTTAGCGTGGGCCCGTTTTCTTTAGCGATAGATAGATAGATAATATACTTAGCTTTTGGCGACAGACAGTTCAATGTTAAATATCAATATCTATAGTGATAGATAATAAATCGCTAAATGAGAAATTAGCGACAAATGGTCTGTGAGTTATCTTTAGCGATAGATCATTCATCGATAAATATATTTTTTAGCGTCAGATGTCTGACGATGCAATGTTGTGGTGTAGTGAATCTAATAAGCAACTTTCTACTGCAGCTTATACTAGACTAGATTATTATGGTCCACTCGTAGTAGTAGTACAAGTGATGATGTGCATTCCTGGGGATCGATCATGCGTCTCAAGAAGGCTGTGGTTGCATTGCATTCTCATCATATCTGCATAGATATATGCGTGGGCCCGGGCGGTCAAAAATGCACGCGGGCATGCATGCCCACTCGATGCCGTAGCTTAGCTGCTGCTGCTGCTGCTACTAGCTTTCACGTCGATCAAATCAAATACTCCTATAATTGAAGGTGTACCTTAACATAATCATTCCATTCCGGCATATCATATTGTGCCTCTAGGCCTATCTAATAATTGTAATATATTTCTATCATGATAAGATAAGCAAGCGGGGGGGTCCATGACTGGAGACAAAAGGCTGAATGGCAGGGGCCACGCATCCGGTTGGGGCCCGCAGCGCTCCTAGTAGAGCCCAACGGCCTGTGTGGCTCCGATGGAGTTGCTCTACCCAGACAAAGCCCAACGCTGGAGTTCCTGGGCCACGGCTGGGCCGGCCGCCCTTGGCCGTTGGAAATTCAGAGGAGCAGCGATGGCAGCCGTGACCGTTGGAAAAGAACACTCGGAATTTGTATCGGTTTAACTTGCCATCGAATCGAATGAATGAATGAAACAATTAAAAATGTGGTGAAATGAACTGTAAGATGGTACAAAAGTTGCTAGAACCCAGGAAGATGTGATGGGATAGAAGGTGGAAAGAACGAATGGGGAAATTAGATCGAGAAGCTAATCGTAGTGAGAGGCTAGGTCCCCTTACTAGCATGGTATATAATCAAATCAGGTCCTGGAAATCCGAATGCAGAAGGAAGCTGAAAAACAGCTCCTCAGTAGAGATGTCTGCCCTTCGCGATGCTGCTCCCGCCGTGATGGTGCCCGCCGCCCTTGTGCCCGCCGATGCCTCCGTCAACTCCAGCGCCGATGCCACCTCCGCCGCCGATTCCGGTCCCACCTCCAATGCCTCCGCCAGCTCCAGCGCCGATGCCACCTCCGCCCCCCGTGCCAAGACCCGCGCCACCTCCTGCACCAAACCCGCCTCCCGCGCCGCCACCGAATCCACCACCCATGCCGCCACCGAAACCACCGCCACCCCCTAGTCCTCCTCCAAGTCCGGCTCCACCACCAGCTCCGATCCCACCGCCCATGCCTCCGCCCGCTCCAGCTCCGACACCAAACCCACCACCGGCTCCGGCGCCACCACCACCTCCGAAGCCACCCCCGATGCCTCCGCCACCACCAATGCCTCCTCCTGCACCCCCACCAGCACCACCTCCACCTCCAAATCCACCACCACCACCCAATCCTCCTCCACCTCCTCCGCCTGCACCTCCTCCAAGTCCAGCACCTCCACCAAGTCCTCCTCCCGCCGGCTCCTGCTCCAAAACCAACTCCTACTCCACCGCTGGCACCGCCGCCACCGCCCAATCCTCCTCCAACTCCTCCGCCAGCACCTCCTCCAAGTCCAGCACCTCCGCCAAGTCCTCCTCCCGCACCAGCTCCTGCTCCAAAACCAGCCCCACCACCGCCGCCGAAACCGCCGCCGCCACCAGCTCCAAACCCACCTCCACCTCCGAGCCCCCCACCGCCACCAAGGCCGCCTCCACCACCAGCTCCTGCACCTGCTCCACCTCCAAACCCGGCGCCACCACCAATGCCGCCGCCTACACCACCTCCTCCTCCAAAGCCACCACCACCGCCCATGCCACCCCCTGTGCCACCTCCTGCACCTACACCGCCTCCTAAACCGCCTCCAGCACCACCTCCTCCACCAGCACCGATGCCACCACCACCACCGCCCATGCCGCCCCCTGTGCCACCTCCTGCACCTACACCGCCTCCTAAACCGCCTCCAGCACCACCTCCTCCACCAGCACCGATGCCGCCACCACCACCGCCCATGCCGCCCCCTCTGCCACCTCCTGCACCTACACCGCCTCCTAAACCGCCTCCAGCACCACCTCCTCCACCAGCACCGATGCCACCACCACCACCACCGCCGCCCCCCCCCCCCCCTTACCATGTTTGTTGTCACAATCCTCGGCTCTAATCATGCCAGGCCTCCACGCCACAGGCTCCCGCCGTGTGGCAGCAGCGGTCGCCGCCCACACGGCAAGCAGCAGCAATACCACCGCCCGGTGGCCCATGGAAGGCAGCCTTGCCATGACTTACAAACTCAGCTTTGGAATGGAACTCTGTCCTGCTGCGTGAGGGGAAGCCATGGCGCGCGGGGGGTATTTAAACGCGAGACGATGTGCATGGATGCTCGATCAGCCGCCAGCTGCTTCGGGGTTTAATTGGTGGCTGGCTGGCCGGGGTTGACTTAAATGTGCCCGCGTCGATTTGCTAAAACTGGTTGGTTGGGTCATGGCCTCTCTGGGGCCTTTTGACTTTTGAGGTGGGCTCAGCATCAGCATGCACCTACATGAGCGAGAGTGAACTGCAAAGCAACCAAGCTTGCATGCATCATGCATGCAGTGCACGACGCCGCCCTGCTCTGCAACTCTGCATGCGTTCGCTTGCTTGATTGGCATGTGACCGGCGCTCGGACTTGGGATGCATGCATTCATGGCTACCGGGCACCGGCTGCTGTCTTGTGTGTTGGCCCAGTTGTGAACTTGTGATAGAACAGCTTGTCACACACGCATGGGCTCCAAGCTGCTCATGTGCTAGCTAGCGGTAGCGGCAGCACTTTTCGCGTTTCCCTTTTCTCGAGGCCTGATCAGCTACGTACTGGCTACTGAGCCCCCGGCTGGAGCAAAAATGTACATGTGCCCAAAGTTTACTCCAGCCGGGGGCTCAGTTGTCCCTTGAAACTGTGGGCACAAAAAGAAAACACTGCTCCATTCGTTGGACAGTTGAGAAGAATTTAGGTTTCAGTTGGCGGACATTAGAAGAAAAGGAAGACACCGTTAATTGCTCTGGTAACATCATGAGTTCAATCTTGTGCCACGAGAATCAGCACGGCACATCACTTTCAGATTTAGGGCACCGTTAGGTTCCCAACAACAGATTGCCGCAACTTGCCACACTTGATTAAGGTTAAATAAATATTCCAAAATATTTGCCACATTTCAAAATTTAAGAGAATCTTACTAAATCATTGACGTGTGGAGCCTAATTTAATCGAAAGTCTTGCCACACTTTGTGGTGGCAAACTGGCAACCAAAGTTGATCAAACATGGCAAATGATGGTAAGTTATGGCTAGCAACCAGCTCTTGCCCTTATCACGCGGGCAGCTCAGCCAAACCAGTAAATTAATGAGCCTGTCAAGTGTCAACACTAGACATTGCACTTGCCTCTCAATGCACAGATAAGACATAGCACAAGACATATATACACATGATACTTAGTCGACAGTACAAGACTCGTGCCATGAAAAAAAAACACGGATTACATTATATCTACCGTGGTTAAAGACACGACATTAACATGCAAGCGATGGCACTGAATAATCTAGGCATTGATAATTAGTACTCCTACGCACGTGATTAGTGGCGGTGTCAATGTTCATCTCGCTTTCCTGAAGTGAGCCTTCAGCTCCTGCCGGATGCAGACCAGCGTGTCCATGATGTCGTCATCCAGGAGTCCGTCCATCACACTGACCGACAGGGCCTCCCTCAGCCATTCCTCGTGGAGGGTCGAGAACTCAGCTCGCTGTTCGCTCGACTTGAAGTTCCCGGGGATCTTAGACCTCATCACCCGGCCTGCGACGGACGCCTTCTCCACTATCGACTTCGGGATTCCAGCCATTGTGGCGACCTGCAGCCCGTAGCTCTCTGGACAGGCCCCTGAGGTCAGCCGGTATAGGAAGGTCAGCTCCTTCTGGCCGTTGCCGTTGCTGCTTGGCTTGAACATGCAGGCCATATGCTGGAGGCTCACGTGAGGGTGCGAGGCGAACTCCTTCGTCAGAGAATGGTAGTGAGTGGCAAAGAGCTGACGGCATCTCACACGCTCCAATAGGTGGCGGAACACCTGAGTTACAGTTAGACAGTGCATAAGATGCTATTACTGATAAATGTAGATCTGTAGATTCATGTATTGTTGATGTGAAAACAAAGGAAAGAGTAATTTAGTGGCAGTATGACAGTGCAATTTCCAGGGACTAAGAGTAGGGCAGTTCCAATTCTAGATATCATTAATAATTAATAATAGCATTCTTAAAAAAAAATGTCATTTGAAACCAGGAAACCTGTTGCAGAACGGAAAGAGAAACAGAGAAGCATGCACGTGAAACATGAAGGCAATGCACCTTTGTTCAAGATTGTCTAACCTACTTATACTACATCTTACTGGAGAGATAAAACACACAGTAGGATTCTCACAAATACATGTAATGGTGTGATAATATGTGATATCTAATGCTAGCAAATTAACAATTCCTCAAATCTGTGAACCAGACAAATAAGGTCTGTTGCTATTTTGTATAAAAAAAGTTCCCTGTACCATGCACCTCATGAGTCATTACCAGTCATTGGGTCATGGTAACAGCACTAATTATGAAGTGAAAGCATACTAAGGGAACATCAAGCATAGCAATGAAGGATGAGATTTGAGATACTGCAGAGGAAAAAAAATCGCAGCATATGCGATTGCATATCCATCAAATGTGCTAGTTCCTCTGCCAAGCTCATCAAGCAAGACAAGTGAGTCCACAGTTGCGTTCTGAAGAACAGAGGCAGTCTCAGTACATTCAACGAGAAACGTACCTGTAAACAATGTTATAAAAACAAAGTCAAGGTCATTGTCATCTCATACCCAAGCATACCGAATAATGTACATATATAGCATTAGATCATGAAATATAAAGAGATTGATTGATCTACTAAACAAGTTCATGACGCAAAACAGTTCAAATAAATACAATGAGGGCTTTCTACCGATAATTCAAGGATTTACAAACATCGTATTACTCTTTTGCCACACAGACATGTATTTATCAATTAAAACTCATTGGACCCAGAACAGTAAAATACGGTGGGCAATGTACTAATTTGTCAAAATGATTACATACTTTCCCCTGACATAATCCGATCAGTTGCACCAAGGCGCATAAAGATGGAATCTGCAAGGGTCAACTCACATGATGTGCAGGGGACATAACAGCCAAGCTGCAAAGAAGAAGAAACCTTGGTAATACATTTGAATAAGATCATGAACAGACAAGCATAAGTAAAGATTATACAGACCTGGGCAAGTACAACAGCCAGGCAGGTGGCACGCATGATTGTGGATTTCCCACCCAACACCCATATTTGGACCAGTTAACAACAATGCAAAACGATTGAGACCAGATAAATCCTGACCAAGGGTTAAATCATTTGGTACCAGGCCATTTGCATTTTCCGCAAAAGCATAAAGATGCCACAGACCCTTCATCCGAAGTATAGGCACATCATCTTTCAGCAGAACTTGTGGTCTGCACATGGCACCAAATGATGACAATGTCATTGCAGCAAAGGACCTAAGCACATCAATAGTGCTGACAGCATTGATCACCAAAGACCATTCAGAAGCCTTTCCAATAAAAAATTCCACCAGACGAGCCAAATTGTTGGCACCATTGTCATCGACATCAGAATCCTTTCGAAGCTCACAAGATCAACCAATAAGTAATGGCAATAGAAGAAATACAAGTGAGCAGTAAATAACTAAAATGGAAACAGGCACTTATATATACAACACTAATGCAGATGGGAAACCATGACATATTTTACCTGGCCACATGAAAATTCATTTCGTATTCTCTCTTCAAACGTATGGATTAACTCACAAAGGCAGCTCAATGATGGAATCTCCACAACCTTATAAAGTGCCAAGACACCATGATCCGCTCTTTGTAAGTCACTGAGTAAGTCAATACCATTGCGGAGGCCATTGATAAGCATTGTAAATGTTTTTATCTGGGAACATGCCATAAAAATTTGTATGAAGCAATCAACTGACAGGAAGAAAAACTAGAAAATTCGCATTTCAATAATCAAATCTAGAACACAGGTTTTCCCTTAGAAACCCTAGCATGTTAACAAAAAGTCTCACTGAAACTAGTACTAATACTAATATGTATACATATTCAAGATTTCATAGCACGTTTGTTTTAAGCAAATATTTCATAGCATATTACTGGAGACCATGAAAACGAATCAGACGATTATGAAAACATGCAGGAAAACACATTGGCTTTATTGACATATTTTCTGCAAGCACAAACTATGGTTTCAGGAAAGGTTTCATAATCAACAACTTAATAAGATCATTTCTTACATAATAAAGTATCAACTGAATATGGGATCTGTTACAAGATATTACATTTCAAAATCACTCCAAAACTTAGCTGTATAAGAGAACCCAGAGCTGTAATAGCTAATAAGCTAGTGACTGAAAGAGAAAAGAACCACTTACCCGTCTCTTTAGTATCTTTTCTCCAATAAAGGGCAGTTGAAGCAAAGATGATAACCCAACAATGGATCTAACTTGTCCTAATAATCTCTCAAGATCAGGAATTTTCCGGAGATACCCAAGTGCTGTAGGGCCTAGTCCACAGTTTTGGATAAAACCCTCAACAACATCAAGCCTTTTATTGATAGCATCAATGTCTTTAAGTCGATGACAAATCCACCTTCTTAGCAGCCGCTTACCAGATGCTGTGACACAGTGATTAAGGTGCTTATATAAAGTAACTGCAACAAGGTATAGATTCAGCAATACTATCTTTGACCTGTTTACTGTTTAAAAACTACTGTTCAAGAACAAAAAATAAGAGCAGGAAAAAAAAAGTAGAATCTGTGCTCCTACCAGATGAACCGCCATTGAAATTGTTGCTGAAAATCTCAAGGTTCACAAGAGTCTGGCCATCCATCCTTAAACATGTTTTGTACACATGGTATGGTAAGACTTCCCCATTTTTCAGGGCATCATGTAACTGGTTTTGTAGAATTAGAACTAGAACACATTTCAATGGTCGACATAGTAGAGAGAGAAAATTATGTATATAATATTTTGCGGAATAATTCGAAAATACATAAACGATGGAAAACAATGACTAGGGACAGCCAATGAAACACTACAAAGAATTTAATTAAAAAAATTAGCAGTTACGAATGGCACAATCGATTGGGATGACTAATATATGTGATCAAGGGAAGAAAAAGGTAACCCAAGTATACCATGAGCCTAGTCAAATGGCCAATAAGTCCACCAAGTGCACAAATAACTACATCTCGATTCACTGCACAGTCCAAAGCAGATAACCATGACTCTGTTGATGCGTTAAAGAATCCTTTAGAATGTATTAACATTCGAATTTGTGAAGCATCAGAGAAATCTATCCCAGAGAGGGGGGTCAACTGCATCTTCACAGATCCTGAAGTTAAGGAAAGATATTTGTAAGTTTTCAAACTCTGATGTCTCATTAACTTGCTATCTGAGAAAAGAGTTATCTGCTGGCAAATAAAGAGAATAGTGTTTTAGGAGCATTTACCTGCTGAGGCGTATTTTCTTATTGTCCTTTGAGTTTCTTTTGAGATGCCTGACAAAAGAGAATAGGTATTAGCTCCTAAAAATACAAGGATTTGAAAATGAAGCATGTTCTGACCTGAGGTTTCATAGATTAATTCTCTAGGAGAAACCTGAAAAAAAAGAATAATAATGAATAACACTATAACAGTTTCTGGTTCACTTAACCAATCAAAAAGGGCTACAAGATCATACCTGCATCAACAAAGCACCCAAAGCTGCAGACGAGTCATCATCTTGGACTGAACCCACCCAAATTTTAAGGGCAGCATAGTCTAGGAAAGCAAATCCATAGACCTGGGAACTGTTAGAAGCTAGGGTAACCTGAAAGTTCCAAGAAAGGCTGCATCAGAATAGGATCACATATGAAGAATGCTAATAAAGCAAAATTCAAGATATTCAATTGCAAATTTATAATGCCATTTTACTTAAAAAGTCCATGCCAAACTACCAAGAGAAACTGCAAGAACAAAACTGTCAGTGGAATCTAGAATAATACTATTTGTTTCAGCAAATGCATTATGCACCTCTGATCTAATATATTTGTCATGGTAATCATTCAGATTAGCTGCTTGTTTATCTGGAACGTTACGATTAGCCACTCAAGAATAGTTTTCTTGTAGTACTTAGGTAGAGGGCTTATTTTGACCAAGGATATTTTGGCCAAAAGAAACTAGAATGCTAGTTGCTTCTGTAGCCACAACAAAACATAGAACACCTTTTCTATGAGTATCATTTTGCTATTCCATTTTACATATAATTATTATTGCGTTGGGTATAAAAAACAAGTATTAACCACATAAAGGGGAGTCAGCGGCATGCAAGGGGAACTACCGAACTAGTACTAAAGCACAGATCTTAGTAGGAGTGGGTTGCCAGCTTTTGGTCTGTATGGCTTAGCCATAATTACATGATCTTTAACAACAAACATACTAGCACTCAGCTACAGACGGGGAGCATATTGTTTGCGCTTATGGAGATAGCTACAAAAGGAAAGACAAAGAGAAACCTTCTTCAAGGCAAGCCACTCTTCGGAGGTGGTAGCAATGCAATTTTTCACCATGTATGGTTGACTGCTTAATTATAGGCTATGCATTTATTTTCTTCTTTGTTTCGCTTTGTCATGATGAACCTTTGTAATAATGAACAAATGCAGACATGTTGTATGCATCAGGGATGCAAGAAGCTGGAGCCTTTCCATTATCTAAAAAAAATATCTGGTAAGTTTATTGGATTATTATGTGCTAAAATCACAAAATTCTCTCTCTTTTTAGATGAAATAATGCTTTAAGCTATACTTCATATGTTCCAAATTATAGATCACTTTGGAAAGTTCAATGGATTATTTTGTGCTAAGATGACATTTTTTCTCTCTTTTGATGAAATAATGCTTTAAGTTATACTTCATCTGTTCCAAATTATAGTTCACGAACTTTGTCCTAACTCAAATTTCTCTTACATTGACCAAGTTCTTTCTAATATATATATATTAACATCTACAAGTTCAAATAAATGCTCTATCGAAGCGTATTTCATGAAGAAACTAATGAAATTATTTGATGTTGAAGGTGTTGGTGTATTTTTCAATAAACTTGGTCAAATATAAATAAGCTTAACTTAGAACAAAGCTAGAGTGAACTATATTTGGAATGGAGGGAGTAAGATGGTTAGGTTGGATGATAAAAAAAAAAGATGGTTAGGTTGGGTGTGGTACCCATATATGCTTATATACATTCCATTTGAACCGGACAAACTTCCAAAGCATCATAGAAAAGTATGGTGGACCAAAGACAGGTGCAATGCTAGAAGCAAACCTCTTTCAATGCCAGAAGGTGAACAGCATCAGTACCGATGTTATGAGCCGCAGTTGATGGTGTGGACACATGAACCAACTTTCTTTCAATAACCTTGCAGAAGTTTTTTATGAGAAAAAATGTTACATGCCACTAGAATATTATTGCCTGTAAGGAAGATATTTACATTGCACCACAAATATGAGCACATACTGAATTATAGAGTTTTGTGTTGCACAGGGTATATTGCTACTAATTTACACCCATCCAGTACCATAATTGTGTCTTAAGTAAAACTAAGTTTCCGAAACAAAGAAAATAGAGGGATGAAAAATCACAATGTACATGACTATGTGCACATTTGAACAAAAGATTGCCATACCGAACAAAGAAATTTGGATATGCAACCGAGAAAGGAGGTTCTAAAAAGGTAGGCGCATGCTTGCTACTACTTACGCCACTAGCTAAGTGATGAACAATCGATTGTAAACACTCGGAATTAATGTTGTTTCATCGCAGATCTTGAATACTTACTGAATGTAATCCTCTAGCTTTGGCCTGGTTTGCGATTCAATTTGTTCTATTCGTCCAACTTTATACACGGAAATAGGTGATGATTTCATGAGCAATAACCTCACTGCTTCAGACCAAAAAAAAGAAGGAAAAGAAAAGGAAGAGGCGCTATCATGGATGTCTTGCAGGACCATAAGGTTCAAAAGGAAATTTTATGCATTATAGAAACCAATGAGCAGATTTGAATTTCATGAAAGCAACATAACTAACATCAAATTGTAAAGGAGTCAATAATGCAAGAAATCCCTCATTATTGCCACATCAATAAGGATAGACACATTGACCTACCATTACCAACTTTGAAGCGAAAGATGAGCTTGCGATGTTCGAGATAATGTTATGATAACAAGATAAAGCATAAACCTGAAGAACTACATAATTCTGGAAATGAACAAAACCAAACAAAAGCATGAGCTATTGAGCTTACCCCCTAGCTACAAGCTTATCAACAGCATCATCTATACCACTTTCTGAAATGCCAACCTGTAAATGTGAAGTTAATGTCACTACCATTAGGAATTAATCATGACAGAGATGAGATAAAGCATGAAACTATATTATAACTGCTAGTGAGGTAGTGATGCATTAAATGCCAAGAATTTAAATCAAGATGGCTGAAAACATGACAAAGTGGTGCATTGCTAGAGCCTAAAAGCATTTACCCAAATCAATTCTGGCTTCCTGTCATCCCAGACAAGAGCTACACCATAATTTTTTTTGTATAAGTAGCAAATTACTACATAAAAGTTTTCGTAAAAAGAACAAGCAGGCTAACATGTGACCCCAGTCATGGAATCAGTCGCCTCCTTTGTCTCTGGCATTGCTGTCGATCTCCACCCTAGCTGCACCAGTCTGCCTCCCAACACAGGACAGCTGCGTATTGCAAACTGTGTTGGAGTTGTTCCAAATTCACTCCAGGATATAGGCCAGGCTTCTGACGGAGCGAAGCGGAGGCCCGTCGCCGGAGGCTTGGGCCGGAGGCTTGGTACGGTACGGTATATACACCCTTGCTAGGGTTTCGTGGAGACTTGATTCTCTTGTAAGCCGCCATAGGCGTGTAACCCAAAACTCTTGAGATAGTGAGATTGTTCCTGGCTGGTGCCCGTGGTTTTTCCCCTTCACATCGGAGGGGTTTTCCACGTTAAATCGTGTGTCTCCTCTGTGGTTTGATTCTTTACTTCATATTCCTATACGTCGTTCTTAACAAACTGGTGGCAGTCCATCACTCCCACCCACTACCGGAACTACTGTTGTTGTGCTGCAGGCCACCACCACCCACCGAACACAAGTTGGCGACCACCTCATCGTGCCACCATACCATTGCCTCCCACACTCCTACAACACGGGTCCCAGATTTACCCAAGCACTGTCCCCTACCCCCAAAACCTAAATCTAAGGCAAATGATCGTGTTCCTAATCCGTGAGGAGATCAGCCTCATGGTAGATTAAAAACAACAGCAACAAGGCCTTTTTGTCCCAACTACCAAGCAGGTTGGGGTAGGCTTCATGTGATAGACTTATCAGGGAAATAACGATAATATAGACTAGACGATAAGATATATGATCCAGTGGTTGTCTGGTTCATGTAACTTCTTAACGAGCAGCACAATATACTGAGATGCAAATGAAATACTTCAAAATTTAGGTGTAATGTAGAACAGTTCAGAGCAAGCATTTGATAAGCAATACGTACCTGTCAGCACTTGCCCACCCCACTAACAGTCATTTTCCAGTCAAGTTCTTTTTGGCCAATCTCAGCATCTAGCTCATAGAGCTCGTAAAATATGCCCTAGCAATGATATATCAAACACTTTAAGTAGGTTATATACTTATATGACCTCTAATACTACAATAAGGAGTGCTCAATATAGTTTCAGGGGGCAAAGCAACGCTTTAACTCTGGAATGAACAGCCTCAGTGCAATAGCAAATGAAGTGCAAAAATGGAAAGTGCAGAAACTTTCGTAGGATAGTAATCAGAACAAAAATTGTCAACATTGGTTATAATGTATAATATCTGGTGAGATTCATCAACATAGTAAAACAGCTAAACGTTTCTTTTTAGGTCAACTTTGGGGGGATCAGGAATAATCCCCACATGATTTCATTCCACAGATACCGGTTGCCTGGGGGTGGAGGGGCATAGCCCTTCAAGCAGTGGCGGATTCAGGGGGGGGGGCTCGAGCCCCCCTACCGATACCGGAGCCCTGGAGCGCCTCTGGAGCCTTCATGAATTTTTAGGCAAAGTTCTATTGTGTAGGTGGGGCTGAGACTTAAGATCGAGCAGCAGTCGGAGGTATGTTGCTGTCGCACTTTTGTTCAGCCCCCCCTAAAAATTTTCCTGGATCCACCACTACCTTCAAGTTTACAACAAGTAATCAGCAGGTAGGGAAGGGGTGGAGATTACATAGTGAACGAATTCCTCCAGTTGCTCACGATTGAGTAATCAGCTAAACGTTATGAACAGCAATTGGAGTGAGCCTATACTGAGAAACACTCACTCCTTATGTGAATAAGTAAATGGCTCAGTACCATACAAAGTTTTGTGAGATATTCATCAAACCAAAGAAATAAGCTTTCATGTGTCCTACAATAGAGTATGTTATATGCCATGAATTGAATCATCAATGACGAATCTTACCACTTTGAAAAAGAGGACAACATCCATATATTTGCACTTAATATTCCAGTATTGCTTTTGAGATGTTGACATTTTTCTCAATGCATCAGGCGGAATAAAAAGAGTACTCGTCATAAAGTGGATCATTTGGCCGCCTTCTATTTGCATCCCTGATGGCAGAAGGATTCTGCCACTCAAATTTGCTACGCGCGCTATCAGCCATTTCATCATGATCCTTCCTTTCAATAGAACAATGAGCTGATTTCATCTTCTTGTTCAAGGCCCACAAAGGAGGGCATTGGTTGTTGGCATTCACAGCTTGGCAAGGAATAGCTGCCTGCATTGCTGGTGTTTCTGGTTTCAGAGGACTAGAGTCAAGTTCTGGAAATAGCGTAGCAGATGCTACGTTATATTTACCGCTCATAAGCAAGGAGGAATTCTTTGACGGATCATCGCCTATTAGGGTTTTTTCCATCTCTATATATACTTCCTGTAAGCCGTCGTCTTGAGATAAGAAAAGTTGAAAATCCCCGACGTTTGTAACCTCACCCGATATAGTGAAGATTTGTTGGCTGGTGCCCGTGGTTTTTTTCTTCTTCCTTGGGAGGGTTTTCCACGTTAAAATCTCGTGTCCCCTGTGTTTGATATGCTGTTCTTTGTCGTTTATATTGCCTATCGTTTCTAACAACACCCTCTCCCCTCCCCTCCCCAATGCGATCTGGTGGCGGCGGCGGCGGCTGGGCCCAATCGATAAGGGAGGCCGGGAAGCGGAGATGCGGAGTGGGCGAGCTCGGGGTCGGGGGAATGGGAGGGGGAGAGGTAGCGATGAGGCGGCGAGACGAGGGAAGGTGTTTGTTTGGGGGAAATTTGGAGCGGGAAATGTGGCTAGTGGGAGCGAGAAGGCCGCCCAAAGTGAAAGAGGTGACGGGTTTCATATTTTTCCGCTGTCCCACATGGTTTACGTTTTTTTTTCCAGATAATCAGAATGAAATACGTCTGGGTGTTTTGTTTGGGAAGTGATCCCATCCGGAATGAATTGATCCAGCATGTCATATTTGCTCGTAAGTTCGGATGATGCTTCGATTGTACGGAGTATTTGTTAGTAGAATGGAGTGGACTAATATATTGTTTGGTTAGTGGAGTGGAGTGAACATAGGCTTCGATAATGCGCTCGTCTGGTGTGGTTTCAACTAGAAGCAGAAACCAGCTGGGCGACTGGCGTTGGAAGACAAAGACGTGAGTCATCATAGGGACTGAAGGCGGCCTTCGTTACTGTGTTTTTTGATCGGCTGAAGATCTACTGATGATTGAGGACGCTATCTGTGTGTGTAGATACTTCTATATTGTCTCTGCTATCGCTGTTCTGTTAAACCTCTTTTGTTGATGGTTAGATGCCCCATCTGAATCAGATGTGTGGGCTTGGTTCGAGTAATGCTTAGTGATCAGGTGTTAGATTGGTGATCTCGGTAGCTGTCTATCTCTTTTATGCCTCTCCTGATATGTTGATAATCTAAACATTGTATTTTGGTTATGTTGGTAATGGAAATGGGGGATGTCCCTCGGTTTGAAAAAAAAATCGACTACGTAATTAAGATCGCCTGTATGGTAGTATGCTGGAGTATATAAAGAGCCTGTTTGCTGGTTGGTTTCTGGGCTGATAAGCCTGACTGGTGCTGGTTTGTCGTGAGAGAAAAACACTGTTGGCTGGTTGATAAGCCCTGGTTGAAACCAACAAGCGAACAGGCTGAAAAAATGGTGCATTGTATCATCAAGTACTCCGTAAGCTAGCTATAATTGCAATGGATTTCGAACTCCTGTACTGTGAGTTTGTGACTTTATGAGAACCTGCAGATTCGGATGGTATATATGCGTTTTACGTGTGTTCTGATGGTCTTCTGTGCCACTACCCTAGTATTTAGTGGTACTTGATATTGCCAGCATTTGGTTCAGTTCACCATATTTTTGGGAAGAAACAGTGTGAACTCAGGTTGTGTTGAAATGAATAAGAGGGAGGTGTCATCCATAGTTTGCAGCTCATTTTATTTGGTGTAATAAGATGAATTGTTCAGAACAAGTGAAAATCCACTAGTGCTAGCTAGTTTTGGTAGCAGCATTTACAGGTGTCTTGGTGGTTCGAGAGTGCATAAAAGTTTCTGCTGTGTCGTAACAAAATTGCTCGTTTGGCGGTTGCCTGCCTCATTATTTTTGCTGTAAATGAGTTTATGAGAACTAGATTGCAATGCGACATTTACATGATGGATGATGAAGATACAGTAATAATAGTATAGTTGTGGTTATGATTCGGCTTCGTTCAGGTAGGCTTACGGGGCCCCTGGCTCGCTGTACTAAAACCTGAGATAGACACACAGGAGCAGTGCTTTGGGACTGAACTTTGAAGCTTGCACAATGTCCTTCCGTGACCGTATGGCTGACAGGCTCAAAACGCACTTTAGTGACGGGAATAGAAGCGTCTCTAAATTTATGTCTGTGATGTGGGCAGTGACGGTTCATTCACCGTCTCTGATATAGGCATAATTCAGTGACGGTTACAGAGAAAACCCGTCTCTGATAAATGTGACGGTTACTAGGAAACACCGTCTCTACTAAGAGAAAAGACACGTGCCAAAGCACAATAGGGGGCACATTTTCTTTTCTTTCCTTGCCGTTCTTGTATTGTACCTGTGCGGCCGTTCCCTACTGCGGAGTGCGGACTGCGTGTAGTACGTGTGTGTGATTTTCCTCCGATCCAGGACACGAAAGGAAGACGAGGAGCGATGTACATCGATTCGAAATTTCTACAATAAATAAAATGGAAGAGTTCCCTGAGATGTTTCACAAACTCATCGTGTGTCATTCATTTTGCAACTCTTCTCTGAAATATCTGTGCGCAATAATACCAGAGTTGGTAGTATGTTCCAGTTCGGCATGTCGCAGGAGATTTTGCTCCAAGAGGCCCAGAACTGCAAATGTATATTTTTTTAGATAGTGGAAACAAAAGTTCCGGCTTCTTCATTACTCTGGAAGAAAGAATCAGACCAATTATTATAAACTTACACTTAAAATAAAACCAAAGCACCAATCCTAATGTCCAAGGCGATAAGAGAAACTCCACCCATGAAAAGCAAACACAAACATGGCACTAGACTTTAAAAGCCTGCATGCCTCCACAATGGAAGTCTTGTGCTCATTCAAGCGCTGTAATTGAGTCCAGAATCGGAGCCAATATATCCCTCAGAACAGTACCTGTAAAAAAGTTTGTTTTTGACCTTTGTTAAAAACGAAATCATTTCTTGTGAGCCAGATTGCCCAGCATTTGCGGCGGCCCAATTTTGACCATACCCCAAATAAGTGAGATACATTTGTTGGAGGGGTAATACTAAACACCCAATGAACTGCACGCCAGATAAAACGAGCATAATGACAATCAAAGAAAAAATGTTGGATAGTTTCAAGTTTATTAAAAAACAACGAACTTTACTACCATTTCAATTTCTTCTTGCTAGATTATCCTTTGTTAAAATTACTCCCCTTTTCAGGAACCACATGAAGATTTTGTTTTTTAGAGTATCTTCATTTGCCATATCTCATGCGTGACTTTCAAACCATCGTTGACAAGGAACCTATACATAGAATTCACCGAAAAGGACCCATTTTTTATGTAAACCCTAAACAAATCTATCTGACATATTGTTGAGCGTAACATGCACAATACTAACAACTAAGCTTATGCCATTCTATTAATTTTGTTCCCACCAGAGCCCTTCTGAAGGACACGGAGCTGTTTGCAGAATCTCGACTACCGTTGCTTGCTTTTTGCGCATATATGCAGGTTTTATTTGCGTGGAACACATACTCCGTACTAGGAAGGACTTCCAGTTTTCTTGCCAAATTCTCATCGTACAAACAAACAAGAATAGAAGATCCGATCCTAAAGTTTCGGTTCGGCATCAATCGAATCATCATCGCCTTTTCCATAAAGTGACAATACATGAACGGAACAGTGAAAAATTCTCATCGGGGAACAAAAAGGAGAGCAAGGTAGACAGCGACGGCATCCGAGCATGATGAGTTTTGGAACATACATACAGAACGAACCGTTCGAAGAATCGCCATGCATGCAGAGTTGGCTTAAACTTATTCATCTATAAAAAAAATAACCCGGCGCACAATTTGAAATTAGCGGAATGGCCAAGAATTGAGATAAGAAATAAAAACGGTTTCTTGCTACAGTGCCCGAAATAAAGAAATCTCTATAAATATTGCCTAAAATTTATCTTCAATCTGTGACGTTCCCACAGTAAAATGACTAGGCACGTGTTGGGCCTAAACCCAAATCACAGGCGTGCGTTGGGCCACATTTCGATGGCCCAGAGGGTGTGATTTTCCACACAAGAACAGAAAAGAAAAACGAGGAGGCAGTGATTCGAAATTTCTGCTGCGCGCATAGCACCAGCAAAATGGTAGAGTTTCCTGAGTTTTTCACAAATTCACCGTATATCTTTCGTTTCGCAGTTCATCTTTCGAATTTCCGCGCGCAATTTCAGAGCTACTCCTATCTCTCGACCCGGCATCCTGCAGGAGATTATTGCTCCAGGTGCAACGAGGACTGCAAACATACCCAGGATTTTCTTGGAAATTCCACGGCTGTTTAATTTATGGGACTACTAGCGTCTAGATGACTCGATAGGTGGGCTTGGGCTGACAATAGGAGCGGTATCCCTGCCCACCAACGGGAGTCCAACGAAAGGCTATTCTGGCCCACATAACAAAAGGGGAGAGCGTGCGCTCGCGTCCACGCCGCTATCCCCTGGTGCGCCCTCTCCACCAGCCCCCACGGCGCCCACTCTGCAGTCAAAGAAGGATGTAAAGCAGCAGAAGGCGAGGAGGGGACACCAAGGCGAGGTAGCAGAAGGCGAGAAGGAAGATGCAACACCCGATCTACTTTCAAAACATCAAGATACAACACTTGAAACATACGTCTGAAGACAGACGAAACACTTAAAACATGCATCTGAGACACTTAAAAAAAACACCTGAAAAGCATTGTAAAACATACACAATATCCAGATAAAATAGTTGCAACATACGTGTGAACATATGCAATATCCAAATAAGCACATTTGCAACATACATCTAAAAAACAGATGAAACATTAGAAACGGAAGTTTGCAATATATGAGTACAATCATTGCAACATATACAACATCCCAATCTACTTTTGCAACATATATATGAAACATCTGAAACACTTGAAACATAGGCGTGCAACATGAGTTTTTCGCCCTTCTTCTTCCGTATGACGCAGTGTGAGAAGCGAGGAATTTGTTTCGTTTTGCCCAATGGTGGCGAGAGATGGTTGGCGCGGCCACAAGCGCCGCTAAGGTCTAGCCTAGGCTTGGCTCGGATGACCCCCTCTCGGCTCAGGTGCGGTGCGGCGGACGACGAGGCACGGCATGGCGCGGCGGAGGATGAGGCACGATGTGGCGTGGCGGGGGACGGAGGTGCCGTGAGGGATGGGTGTGTTGTGGGGGATGGCGGTGCGACGCGCCGGAGTGGGCACCACGACCACTAGTAGAGAAACGACTTTCGGCTCGTACCTTTAGTCTCGGTTGTATTGGGGTTCGGGACTAATGTGAACATTAGTCCCGGATCTAAATTTTACAGGCACCAAAAACCTTTTTATTCCGGTTGATAATACCAATCGGGACTAAAAGCCATCATTTAGTCCCGATTGGTGTTACTAACCCGGACTAAATGTCCTCTAATTTTTAGTCCCGGTTGGTAACACCAACTGACCTTTTAGTCCCGGTTGATGTCACCAACCCGGACTAAAAGGTCTCCCACCCGAGACTAAAGGTCCCCCACGGATGAATTCAAAAGGAGAACGTCCAGGACTTTGTCACATGTGATGTGCAGTTGAGTTGGTAAGGAAGCTACGCGTGAGGCAAGGCGTCTTGGGTTTGAACCTCACGCACCGCAAGAGAGGTCTCCCAGGATTTTAACTATTTTTTAAGTTCCGATGATGGGCTTTAGTCCCGGTTGCGTGACCTAGGATTAAAGATCCCGACCTTTAGTCACAGATCCGCAATCCCGGTTGGAAAACCGGGACTAAAGCCAGTTTCCAACCGGGATTGAAACCCACCAATGTACTGGTGGACGTGGGATGGAGGTGCCGCAGGGATGTCGACAGCAGCGCCGAGAAGTGGGCGTGGCTAGGCCTGGATATCGAGCCAGCTCGGCTCGTTACAGCTCGGCTCGTTATAGCTCGGCTCGTTAACATACTGGCTCGTTTCGGCTCGTTATACAAACGAGCCAGCAGAGTAGCTCGGCTCGGCTCGCTAAAAAGCTCGAGCTAGCTCGTTTGGCTCGCGAGCCAAATCTTAAAAACACGATACAGGAAGATTATAAAAGCTAGTGAGCAACAAACACAAAGTACTTATAAATTTAACAAAGTTTTTGTCCAGCCAGCCCACCACGACCATGACCATGAGTCCATGATAGTCATACTCATACAGCTTTACACATCGACATCAAGACATCACCCATTCATCCATACGAATTCAAGAACGAAGCAAAATAAATGAGCTACTGACTTTGAGTCGTAAACTAATCGGTTTTGCGGGTAATATATATACACCAAAAGCAAGTCAAAAACAGCCATGGAGCGCAGCCAACAGGTCCCTAGTTCAGTTCCCCCTTTATATCTTGTAACCTGTATGTGAAGAACACATCAAGTGAGAACAAATATGATATCCACCACAGTGCTGGACATTCTAAAATAGACTTACTAGTTGCTTTCCACCACACTGCTGGGAAGCTCCACACTCTCAATGTCACCATCATCACCATCTTCTCCCTATAAAAACAGTAAAAGAATTAAGCATTACATACACAAACTTTGGGAAAAATAGAGTTGAAAAATAGACTAAAAATCATATACCAGAATAATAAGAGGACTTTTAGAACCTCGTATCCAGCTAGATGCACAAACTAGTGCTTGAACTGTCGCTGGCTTCAAAGAACTCCTATAGTCATCGAGAATTCTACCTCCACAACTGAAAGTGGACTCAGATGATACGCTGCTAGCTGGGACAGTTAAGAACTTCTTTGCCATACTAGACACAACAGGAAATCTAAGAGCATTCACCTTCCAATAGTGAAGTAAGTTAAAATTCTTATCATGTAAAGGATGGTTTGCTTCATCTAGGTAGATAAGTAACTTAGATTTTGAACTTTCTGAAGCACTTGACTCTAGAAAAGAGCTGGTTGTTTCCTTTGATGATGAGGCTGATTGAGTGGTTGATGAGCTGCTACTGCCACCCATTTTCCGGCGTTGCTCCAACTCATGCTTCTTGTAGAGCTCTTCTAACTCTTTTTTTATATCAGCAACCTCTTGTTCACACCTTGAGGAGTCATAAAGCTGACTAAAATAGAACTGAATATATCTCATTTTGAACCTAGGGTCAAGGATTGTAGCAATAACCATTACATTGTTCTTCTCTTCCCAATATTTATCAAATTTGTCTAACATTGCAACAGTCATTTTCTTTAAATATGGGTCCTTAGAATTTTTTGCCTTTAACAATGCAATCTTGACTTTCAAAATGTAAGGATAGAAGACATTAGCAGTAGGGTAAACTGATCCTGAAAATGCAGTGGTTGCTCCAGCCATCTCTCCTAGAATTGGTCTAATCTTCTCATATATGTTCCATTCAGATTCTGTAGGTTTCCATGCATAGTTCTGGTCTACTTGAGCATAATAACCAAATGCAGACCTATACTCAATGCAAGTGTCAAGCATTTTATATGTTGAGTTCCACCTTGTTTTAACATCAAGAGACAAACATTTCCCAACTTTAATAGCATAATCATTGCAAACCTCTACAAATTTGTACAGGCGACTTGGAGACCTCTTGAAATATTTCACAGTATTCCTTAGGTCACTTATGAGACCTTCTATTTGGTCTAGACCATCATTAGCAACTAAATTGACTATGTGAGCAGCACAACGAACATGAAAATATTGGGGATCAAACTGACCATTCTTTCTAGCAAGCAGCTTGGCTGACAAATTTGTAGTAGCAGTATCATTATTTGAAGCATTATCAAGGGAAAAGACCGTGACTGTGAGTCTATGACTACGGTGGAAGTGGAGTCGACTGCCTGCGTGCTGGCGTGCTGCGGCTGCTGGTGTGTGGTTAGGGTTTCACGAATGGGCTGGGCCGAGCTGCCTAGGGATGTATGGCCATATGGGCCGACCCAATTTCAGTTGCTGGCTTTATAATTGACTGGCTCATTATGGCTCGCGAGCAGCTCGTGAGCTGGCTCGTTATAAACCGAGCTGGCTCATTATATAACGAGTTGTCTCATTATTAATCGAGTCAAGCTCGAGTCGAGCCATTAACGAGCGAGTCGAGCGAGCTAGCGAGTTTCGAGTTTTTCGTCCAGACTTAGGCGTGGCGCGGCGCATAATGGGATGCGCGAGAGAGACGGTACGAGACGAGCGTGGAGAGTTATTTTTTAAGAGAGAGCGCGTTCGGAAGGACGGATGTGTCATGTGTGCCGTGGAACATTAGCGTTAATTTATTGTGACAAGCGAACTGCAGGCTCCTTCCTTCCGATCCTAAAGTTAATTTTGGTAATAAAGGAGAAAAAAATGCTCGATATATACATAGATCTCTAGCGGGTATCTCGCCTTTTCGTTGGCTCGGCTGTCAAGCTGTGACGAAATCTCAACGGAATTAACGGTGAGCTGAGGTCGGCATCGACAAGTTAGGCCACGGCTGCCTAAACGCTGGTGGACCATCATCTAGTCCGTGTCCTCATCGGGAAGAAAACGAAGAGCCAAGGTACTGCATGACAGCGACAGGATCCAAACACCCCGGCCCCGATGAGTTTTGGACACTAGCCACCTCAAAGTCTGCCCAGCCAGATTACCCATGCTTTCAGTTTCATAGCGACTTAGGAGGTGTTTGCTTGCTGGCCGACGTGCGTCACGCCACACCTGCGGCTGCCTAGGCTGGTGTTTGGTTCGCTGCGCATGCAAGCCACGCCACTTACTGCGGCGGTCACCGGTCTGCGGCTGTTGCTTGGTTCGTGTGAAAGCTGTGGCGGCCACAACTACTCCCACACCACACCTGTGGCACCGAAATCCGTCGCCTAACCTTCAGCGCTGCCGTTGTTGCAGCGTGGCGGGCCACAGCCACAGACCGAAAAGCTTGGACGGCGTCACACATGGCGTGGCAGGCTTCGGCGGCCAACCAAACATCCCCTTAGTTACCGTCACAGCTCACGTGACGCGGTTATGGCACAGCAAGCAGATAATAGTCTTATTAGCAGTCGGAACATGCAACATGATCACGTTCTTCGTTCCGAGAATGTCGTTTAAAAAAAATTGAAAATATGTATAGCTCTATGTTCTCATATTTTTCCAGCAACACGGCTGCTATGGATAAGACTACCGTACCGGTGTCTCCGTTGCAATTACGGAATGATGACAGCCGTCGGCAGAACAATTGGAGCGAGCTTGCCGTATACACAACGTACAGTTCGTCAACAGTTTTTTTTCCTTCTATAAAGATCGAAACGCCATACAAAGTTGGCTTAAACTTCGTCTAAAAAATGTAATCAGGCGCGCGATTTTAAATTAGCGGAACGCTGAAAAATTGACGCATGAAGATTTGATCTGTTGGTCTTTGGTCTACTGGAGGCGACGCTTTGTCGCTATAAAAAGGTGCAAGCCAGTCGTTCGCATCCGTGGCAACTGGTAAGAGCCCGCTCGCTCAGGTTCAGCTCAGGCGCTCAGCTAGTCAGCTCATTGAGGGGAGGAAGGCTCGGGTTGTTCGGCCAGCCATGGCGACGCGATGGCAGCGCTGCGCGCAGCAGCTCTCGTCCCACCCGTACCACTCCGCGATATCGTCCTCGCCGTCCTTCTCCCTCGGCGCGCGCGGCGACGACGACCACGACGGTGATTACGCCGCCGCCGGCAACAGCCTCGCGCCTCACGAAAGCGGCGGCGGCGGCGTCGCCGGCGCGCTGGCCTCGCCTCGGATGCCCGGCGAGCTGCCCCCGGGCGCGGTCTCGGCGTCCGACCGCTTCTTCGTCTCGCCGGCGCCCACGGCCTCGCTCGTCGACGACGACACGGCCGCGGGCGAGGCCCTGCGAGGAGCGGCGGTGCTGGTGGAGACGTACTCGAGCGACCCCAGGGCGGAGTTCCTGGAGTCCATGGCCGACATGGCGGCGGCGTGCGGCGCCGAGGGGATGCCGGAGCCGGAGTACCGGGAGTTCATGGAGGAGCTCCTGTCCTGCTACCTGGACCGCAACGACCGCGGCGTCCACCGCCACGTCCTCGCCGCCTTCGACGACCTCACCGCGCGCCGGTGGCCGCACAAGCGGAGGAGGCCCATCCTGGGACTGATGAAGATGAATCCTTGTGTTTCCGGCAGATGGTAACCGTCAGATAGTTCGTCAACAAGCAGCTGTGGAGATTTATTTTTACTTTCTCGCAAGTACAGTATAAAATTAAATTTTACTGGTTCATTCACAACTAGCTAGAGGTGTGTACCCTGGCTCAATTCACAAATATATATAGCAAGTTAAAGTGCCATGTTAAAGAGAGAGTGCCACCTCATCGCATATAACTCTACCTTCTAAGATACATATTTTTTTTATTATAAATCTAGATATAGCATATATATCTAGATGTATGTAAAAGTTTTGTATCTAATAAAAAGATAAAAAATGGAGAAAGAGCTTGCTAGCGCCCAAATGTCCGGACACCGTGCTTGCAGTCCATTTTCCCACGCCCACACAGGGCCTGCGCTGCACCCGAACGTCACCAGCATCAAGAAGAGGGGGGATGGGGCGGCGGATGCCCAGCCGGCGCCGGAGGAGGAGGAGACACCGAGGCAAGGCAGCAGAAGCGAGAAGGGAGATGCAACACCCGATCTACTTTTGAAATATCAAGATAAATAAAAACAATTGCAATATAGTCTGAAGGCAGATGAAATATTTGAAACATGCATCTGAAACACTGATAAAAACACTTGAAAACCATTGTAAAACATACACAATATCCACATAAAAACACTTGCAACATATGCGTGAAACATATGCAATATCCTAATAAACACACTTGCAAACATACGTCTGGAAAAACAGATAAAGCATTAGGAACAGAAGCTTGTAACATACGTGTACAACTATCGTAACATATGTAACATCACAATCTACTTTTTGCAACATTCGCATGAAACACTTGCAACATACCTTAGAAATATCTGAAAATACTTGAAACATGCGCTTGCAATATGCATTTTTCACCCTTCTTCTTTAGCACGACGCAACGCAGAGCGGGGAATGGGCAGGCGGAGGGCAGCGCTATCGCGGCCCCTTCTGGAGGTGAGCGTAGGGGGTGGCGGGGACAGGCCGCCGGCGAGCTTTGGTAGCACTGCGGGTCGGCGCTGGGCGGAGAGAGGAGGCGAGGACAGGCCGCCGTGGGCTCTGTCCCGGCGAGGCCTGAGAGGAAGGGGCTGGCCACAAGCACAAGCAGCTGCCGCTCGGGTGGGGCCGGCGAGGAGCTCTGGTCAGGCAGGGGACGGAAAGAAGGGCCAGGCGGGCCCAACAGCGGACGTTGGCCAACAAAGACGCCGTGGAGAGTGGCACAAGCGGACGTCCGAGGCCAAGCATTATCGAAACAGTCAAGTACTTGTGAAAACACGGAAGCGTGATTGCTCCGACCTTTGTTTTGTCCTTTTGTCCTGCACGCAATTTCGAGGCAACAGATGGCCGGATCTTGATTGAATTCACTTTTAACAGTCGTTTGAGTCGGTTCATAAATGTACAGCAAGGACCACGGTCTAGTTTCAAAGACTACCGGGTAAGCCCTGATACGAGCAATCGTTCATCAAAGAGCCTCCATGTACAGAACTGCCATGCACACAGAGATGATGGCGATAATAAATATAAAAATATTGCAGGCTTAGATAAACCTGCTTAACTGAAGTATTTTACAGCAGGTCGCGCAGTGCAATAATCAGAAAAAGCATTCAACAGCTAGATTTTTGGGTGCTCCAGTGGTGATGCGTCGCAGTCTAGACGCATATGTACAGATCACCATACAAGTGGGTCAGAGGTGTTCCCATGACTTTGTAAAGATAGCTCATCAGCAATGGGAAAAATGCTGGTGCTGTCTGCGTCTGATTTCAGCCAGCCGGTACAAGTGGAAGTGGCTAGTGACGCTAAACCTGTGACCCAAATAAATATGTTAGTGTAGATATAGATATAAATTATGTGCTGATTTGTCGAGAGATGTTAGAAATAAAAAAGAAAAGGAAAAGAAATGGTATGCGCTTTTATTTAGTGGCCCATCTAATAAAAGCCCATTAATTCAGCCCAAACCCACATCCCGCCACACCCATACGTTTCTTCATCTTCCTCGCAGCGCCGGCGCACACAGCCTGACAGCCGCCGCCGTTTCTTCGTCTTCCTCGCAGCGCCGGCGCTCCATCTTCCGCTCCCTCCCCCACTCGCGCTCAGCACGCAGGCGACGGAGGCGACACTCAGTCTCAGGCTCTCAGCGACGGCGGGGCAGTCCCAGGCTCGGCGGCGGCGTCAGCGGCTCCCTCTCCCGCCTCTCGCCAGTAGCCTCGCGCCCTCGCCTCCGTCCCCCGCACACCGTCCGGCGACCCTGCGTACTCACCTCCCGCCTCCTCTGGATCGTCGACGGCGCCCGGCCCCTGCGGCTGCGCTGCGCGCCGCGCGCGGCCGCTGGGCAGCGGGAGCCACCCTGCCGCTGCTCCACCAAGGCGGTCGCGCCGCTTTGGGAGCGCTTATGTCCCATAGCGAAGCTCTACGCGTCCGCTTAGCGCTTCAGCGCGCTGAAGTGTGCGCTTAGTGCCGCTTTTTGGAACCCTTTAAAGATTTATCGGTACTTTCAAATAGCTGTGATGTCAAGTATAACCAATGCCAAGCAAGCATAACACAGTAGGATTTTCAAGTTTTAGCCACAGGATTGCAAATTGCAGTATATATATTTTTTGCTTATTATGTTCTAGAAAATATAATCTTAAGAAACATTAGCATAGGGTATTTTTAATCCCCCGTTCCAATTGAGTAGCTGATATTTTATTGCATGCTCTGAACTTCGTGATGTCTTGCTGATTGTGCTCATTGGCTAGACTTGTTTATGTAATGTTTCGTTTACCTTATTATGCAGTATTGTTCAGATACACTGAGACTTCTTTCTTTGGGTTCTTGATCTCCTGACATGTCTAGCTGTATAGGACGATCATGTTATTCTGCTCATCTACAATCATATCAAACTACTAATTGTTGTCATGGTTCAGCTACCTGTCATGTTTGCTCTGAACTATCCATTATCTAGTTTGGAGGATCAATCTGATGCACTTTTCAAGAGAAACTACTCATAATTCTCCTTCAGAGAGTGGAGTTCTAGAGGTCCTGTTTGTTTGTGTTTAAGAGTCAGGAACTACACATCTAGTACCTGCAAGTCTACGGCCAGTTTATTCTCCACCCCCTCTCTTGTATTCCCTTCCTGTCCCCTCTCCTGTAGTCAAATTGTCTGGTCACTTGGTCTGATTGTGGAGGGGGAGCCAGTAGCTACAGCAGGTTACCTGCCTGCTGGAGTGTTTGGCTTATTGGAAATCTAGAAAAGATGAGCAAAATGGCACAATGCAAGAATGAAGGGCAATTTTAATGCTAGTGCTATGTTGCTACTGCTTTTAATATGCCTTTTTTTATTTATTTATAAAAAACTTTGTGTGTGAAAAAGCAGTATCCATATCCTCCCTATACCCATACATGTATATTTATCCATGCTGCATGTTGTTTATAGTTTATAATACATAGGTGCCAAGAGCCTGTACTTTATCTATGTGTGCAACATTGATTGTTTTGCATGTCTCGTTTTATAAGGCTAATTGATCTTTTGTAGCTTTTGTATCCTAATGCATAACTTTAGAAGCTGTATACAATTAAGTTATTGTGATTATTTTGACAGGATTTTGTTGTTTTGGCAGACTAATTCTCCAGGAAAGATGAGCTTGATATCCCAGAACGCGGTCCAGAAGCGCCGCCTCAGGAAAAGTGAAGCTGATGATGGCAATGATTAGGACATTGGCTCTCCGACCACCATAGATGCAGAGGTTGGGAAGGAAGCAAAGTTGAAGAATTACAGTAAGGAAAGGAAGAAGAAAAGGACTAAGGTGCAGGAGTCCCAGCATAACAAAGAGGAAGAGGAGATGCAGCAGCTGGAGAGCTCATTGTTTGGTTCCCTTTATGCACCACTGGAGTTTGGCACTGAGGTTGGAGCTGCAGTAGTAGCTCCTGACCGGGATGCGCCTTTGTTTTTCACAGATAGGTCCGCTGGTGGTGGCATGGATTACTTTCCAATATATGAGGAGGATATGACCCATGAGGATGAGGAAGACGTGGTGGGTATCAAGGGGAGGAAGCCTGTATGGGTGGATGAGGAGGAAGAAAGGACAGAGGTGGACATCGTGAAGGTTTCAAGGTTGAGGAAGCTGAGAAAAGAGGAAAATGAGCATTTGATTTCAGGGAAAGAGTATGAGGCCAGGTTGCGTGGTCAGCATGCCAAATTGAACCCCTTCACTGGCTGGGCTGATATGGACCGGAAAACTTCTCTTCCTGTTGTGTCAGATGGTGAGTCTGATGATGAGGGTTGTGTCGATAATATCCTTCAGAATAACGATGAGCTTGTTGTCAAGGATACTGTCAAGCTCTTACCTGGGATGCTGGAGTTCTCAAGGCTCGTTGATGCCAATATCCAGGATCCATCAAGTGGTCCTATCAATTCAGTGCAGTTTCATAGGAATGGGCAACTGATGCTTGCTGCAGGTTTGGACAAGCATCTCAGGTTTTTCCAGATTGATGGAAAGAGAAACCCCAAGATCCAGAGCATATTTATTGGGGACTGTCCAGTACACAAGGCCTCATTTCTGCCTGATGGCTCTGAGGTGATCCTATCAGGCAGGAGAAAGTTCTTCTACTCATTTAACCTGGTGAATGCTGCTGTTAGCAAGATTGGACCTTTGACAGGGCGTGAGGAGAAAAGCCTGGAGAGCTTTGAGATATCACCTGATTCGAGAACCATTGCTTTTGTCGGTAACGAAGGGTACATCCTTCTTATTTCTGCCAAGACAAAGCAGCTCATTGGAACCCTCAAGATGAATGGAAGCGTGCGTTCACTGGCTTTTGCGGATGGTGGAAACCAGCTGCTGAGCAGCGGTGGAGATGGCCATGTTTACCACTGGGATGTCGGAACGAGGAAGTGCATCCACAAGGCTTTTGACCACGGTTCCCTGGCTGGCATTTCGCTTTGCACCTCGCAGGACAGCTCTTTGTTTGCCACAGGCTCCACCAGCGGCATCGTGAATGTGTACAAGAGGGACGATTTTCTTGGCGGGAAGAGG